CGCGCGGGAACCAATGAGACACGAGAGGCTGTCGCGTCAGACCAATCAGCGCTCGGGGTGAGGTGTGGGCGGGGTTTGTAACTGTGCGCTCTCATTGCATCAGTTCCTGTAGAATAAACGCTGAATATGGATCAGTGTTTGTGTTTACAGACACACTTCACATAACTCCACATAACTTCATACTTTATACTTGACATATGTGCAAATGCTAAATACACTGCACAAAATACGGTTTGCATTTTGCATGCTTTTTTATAATTGTTTTTATATAAAATTTACATATAATTCCACTGGAACCAGGTTTCATTTTTGTTAACTAAACCGTAAACTATTAAAAACATGTTTGTTAATTGAAGTAAAATAACATATTAAATATTATACGGAAAACTTAAACTAAAATTAAAAATTTTGACTTGACAATAACCTGAAATAAGTTTGAGCTGAAGCACTTAAAACTGGAAATAAATAAAAACTAAAACTGAACTAAAACTAAAATAAATGAAACCTAAATGGTAATATTTAAAAAAAAAAAACAGCAACAAATCAAAACAACTAACACAATTTCTAAAAATTAAACTGAAATAAAAATTAAATTAAAAAAAGCTAATTCAAATTATGAATGAAAACTATAATACGCTATATGAATAATACTAAAAAATAACTAGTGCTGTCAAATCGATTAATCGCATAATATAGGTTAATAAATAAATAGTGTGTGTATATAAACTTTTATGTTAGATGCAATTAATCTCGATTAAACGATTTGAAAGCACTAAAAATAACACTAACTGAAATTTATATGTATAGATTTGAGCAACAAAACAGGATACTTGTTTTAATCGCATTAAAATTAGGACTAAATTATGATTGGAATTCCATGAGCATTCCTTTAGGATTCTTTGACACTCCGGTTACATGTGAACGTCAAAGTCCTATTTCTGTCAGACGAATCCCTCATATCAGAATCCACCGTCGGCTTAAGATGGATTATCAAGAATGTTTGTCTTCAGATACTTGAAATTCCCTCTTTCTCATGAATTAAATATAAAGGAATTCAGGGTTTTGTTCCCAGTACCACCATTTACAAAGCTTTCAGTTGAAGCACATGTTAACCCTGTTAAGCCTGACATATGAAAAAACAGTCAGAAAGAAATTGAAGAGTTAAATGAACCTTTAGAGAAAATAAGACAAAAGTTTGCATATGTGTTTTACATACATCAGGCTTTTATGGCTCATATAGTCTGATATAGTGAGAATATGGAGGAAAAAACAGTTCAGTTTTATTCAGAGACTGATATCGCTGATATTTATATATGGACAAAAATTGATGCAATTCTAATGCTTGTAATGTAAATCAACGAGACCTTTATAGACACTGTAAAAAAATATTCCTGTTAAAAAACGGTAAATTACTGTAGCTGTGGTTGCCATCAGCATCATACCGTAAAAATATGGTGTGTTACTGTTTTTAAAATTAACAGCTAAATACCGTTTTGTCAGATACATCTATATAACTGTAATTTAACAGCATATAATTTAAAATTTACCGTAAAATCAACAGTAACTTACTGTATTCAGATTCTACAGTGGGGAATTGTTGAGAATACAGTAATATTACTGTGAAAACAACATCATTTACAGTTTACAAGCCTTATAAATGTAGGCCTATGATATCACATATGGCTTCATAAAGTTAAATGTTGAGGAGAAAGAGAGAGAATCTCATAGTTGACCAATTGTAAACTAATGTTCACTGCATTGACCAATCAGACGAAAGCTATAGTTTTGGCCTTGATGAATAATAATGATAACCTGGTTGTGTTTAGTGAGCAGCTGAGAGAGGAATGTGTGTGAAATGAATAGTGTTCGTGTCTGTGTGCTAAATATACTGTCGACAGCTGCTGTCTCACTCGTGAGAGCAGCGAGACAGGCTTTCATTGCACACTTTTACTGTCTGTCTGCCCGTGACGTCACAGAAACACACTCATGTTTCTTCCCGAAAGAAAGTTCGAGCCAAACTTCGCCCGTCTGCCTCTTTAAGTGAGTTAATTAAAGTCCCGCGGCGTCGGGCACGATATTCCTCTCTGTGCCCGCCGGAGCGAACCGACACTCATTGGCTTTCTCCCTCAAATCCCCTCAGATTTATTAAAAATATCCAAATACATGAATCAGTTCTGTCTGAAAAGGAATCCAGGCGAAGCGGGCACGACGATTTCTGTCACCGTGATTAGACGGAGGAACGGATGCCAAATCCACAGATTGACGGTTTTTCTTAAGGGGCTCATTTGGAGAAAACCAGAGAGAGAGACACACACACACACACACACACACACAGAGATATAGAGAGAGAGAGAGGCGCGCACACGAGGAGTTCCGTCGAGTTTTGTATTCAGCTCGTGTCGCGCGCTCTGACTGGAATTACCGCGCGTCGCCGGATTAAACGCTTCTACACAAAAGACGCGTCAGGACCGATAAAGCCATGAAGTTCTTGACATTCAGA